TCACGGTCACATATTGGGGCTGAAAACGCAGTCTGCTAATCATCTCTTGGCACTGACGCTCTTGTGGATTTTGAGCATTGAAAAGAATGGGCTGTTTGAACCCGCAACGTCTTGGCACTCGTCCTGATAAGAAGTGAAGAGGATGGACTAGGCAGTAAAGAAAATAGAGGACAGAATAACTAACTTGGGGCATGTAAGACAGAGTAAATTGAGGAGAGACCTAAAAGGGAGTCAGAGTCAGAGTCAGGGCCATGGAAGGGAGAATAGCACCCTCGGGGAGAAGCCCATTGCATTGCAAGTGGGAAGTGGAAGTGAACAAACCACAGATTCACCCCAAAGCCCAAACGGAAGGTGCACCCCGGACGGGAAGTCCCCTACTCCTTGCGCTTTCCACTCAAATTGCCAGGGATATTGTCTTTTCCCTGCGTGGATTGCCTGGATTCTTTGGAGAAAGATGGGAGGGGCCATGCCGATGCCGATTTGTTTGAGCGTTTTAGCGGACGCTGAAGCTGCTGTTTCCTCAATCCCAACCCCCAGGCACAAACACGCACCCAAAGTCTCCACGACTTCTCTTCAACCTCCAGATTTTCTAAATTCTTGACTTTGTTACAAGTTGATTCTGCCGGAGACAAATCAAACACCGATCTCTTCGCTTCGAACTCTTTTCGTCCCGCGGAATGTGTGCAATCTTTTGCTCATGATAACGAATACACCTTGCGAAGCTGCTGATCACTGTCGTTGCTTTCATCTTCATCTCCACCTTGCATCACATTGAGGTGTTGGCGGTTTGACAATATTCATCTCTGACGACTCGGTTCACCAACTACTGCGATCATCTTTTCGGCATCTTTTATTCGATCTGGTATCTGGTCCTTGGCCTCTACTTTATCTCATTTCTCAACAATACTCCAACAAAAATACTGTTCCGGTTGTCTATCGTCGATCCCCCAACGCCGTTCCTCCGTAGCTACCGCTCCGGTTCAACTTTCGGATCATCCGGACATATGAGCGACAACTGCCACTTCCTCGATTTCTCAGGTGCCACAACTTACTCTCATTTCTGCGATCGGCCAAGCACATCAAGAGAATTTTAAGCTTAATTCTCGTGCAATTGACTTGCTTACTCCCCATATTGGCCTTGTGATATCCCGATCTCGGCATCATGCCTATCTCACCACTATGGGCTCTTATGCCCCGCGGCGACCATTCCTCATCGCCAGAGAGCGATCAGTCTTCGTCTTCGGGCACCACTGGAAATGTATATCCCTCAGATTCATTTGCAGATGACCTGTTCCGTGATAAGTTCATGAGCATCGCCAAGGGAGGCTCCAATGGGGAGAAAATCATGCGTGGCTTTCTGATCGGTCTCGCCATTGGCCTGGTTGTCGCATGCTTCGTTTGCTGTTGGTACCCATGCTGTCGACCCCGACTCCAAAACCAGCGTCGAAGACAACGAAGGCGCCGGGGACCCCCCGCAGCAGACGAAGAGGAAAATGCAGCAAGCCGTGTGCCTCCTCCTGCATAGCGCTGACTACAGCCAGATCATGGATATGGGGAGGGTTTGGCGTCGGCAAGTTGACGCTTTAACTGAAAGTAAGGCGGTGACCGTTCCACTTGCGACAGCTTTCGAAAAACGACATTGATTGAAGACAACTTGCAAGATCGATATGACACGATACGAATACACGAATAAGCGAAAGAAGACTATGCACAGAGCTGCGAACCATCAGCTTCGATCACATCGCTCAGCACGCACGGGTTCATTGACAATGCAACCAATAGGCCAGATGAAAGTGTTGTCTGGCCGCAGGCCCGAAGTAAGGGCCTTGCACATAGGTACTGCAGTTACTCCTGTCAGGCCTAGTTCAGATTTCGTGCTGTTGGTCTGGCATGAGGTAGCCTGGTGGAGCGCGACGATAGCTACGCATAACCAGGGGGCCTTAGCAATCGAGCGGAGAGGAGGAGTCCGAACATACTTACATCATTAAAGGTGGACTATGACATGAATTTCAGAAGAAGGCGCATCAAAAAGGACATGGCATTGAATTTGCATTGGATACAAGGCGTTCAGGGACGATGTATGCATTTGGGACTGTTTAAAGGCTACACCGCCGCCGGCGTGGACTAGCATCTGGAATTATAGGCATCTCAAGGCGCTTTCGCAGTCTGTTAGACAAAGAGAGGAGAATAGGGAGTATCGGTTCTCTGCAATGACAAATCATACCCTGTATATTTGATAATGTGATACTGCATACGCAATGCAATGGCATATCAGGTCCAAAGCTGACGCAAAGGACGAGGCTCAAACGATCTGCTTCTCATTGGACGCGCGTTTAAAGATGGATGAACATTCTTAATACTCTCAGTTTCGCCCATTGGTAGAGTCGCCATTGGAAGCCGGATCTCTGAGGCCAGTCCTCGGACAGTCGCAATCCGACACACATGAATGCGACAGGGACCAGGACTAGAATAGTAACACTTGAGCGGCACTAAGGCAGAGAATCTGCTCAGCCTCTTTGAGTATCGGTTGTGGCGTTGGGCGGATTTGGTACGTCACTAATGCGAGACCGAGCACTCGTAGTTTCGATTAGCAAGTAACATAAGTAAGTAAGTAAATAAATAAGTCAAGTACGGGAATGTTCTTTGTCTCTGTGCTAATCGAGAATAATTCATTCCCTAAGATATAAGCTTATTATTTGTTATCTGATTGTCTTTCTACCTTACCCATTCATCAGCCAAGTCTTTAAAGTCCTTGTGACCCTTCCCGATCAGTCACAAGCTGTAGCTGCTTCAAGGCAGCCCCGCCTCCAAGTCTCAGCCTGCCGCGCAATTGTCTTGTCTATCGGATTTTTCCTTGCTACTTTCGTATAACTATCTCTCTTCCTCAAACTCATCCTTGAGCCATTCCTGAACCACAGGCGACTCACTTCTTACGACTTACACCCTCTTATACTTCTTGTGTTACACCCGACGGGTTACGACGTCATCCCACGAATTAGCTCTGCGACACCAAGTCAACAGTCGCATTGAGCTCTAGACAACCAATACAGTTGGCAAGATGCTTGACGAAAACCTCCCGACATATCGCTTCAAGACCTCTTCAGAGAATCCACTCAATAATATTCTCTACTTCACACACAACGGATCCGATCCCGCGCCCGAGTACCTCATCAAGCGACCGTCGCCTTCCGAAGCCAATGGCCAATATGCGCTCGGCATATTCGACTCTCAGAACACTTCTGTGATATACGCAGAGGTCGATGTCAAACCTGACTGGGTAGCGCCCACTTTGTCTGCAGCTGAAATCCGCGCGCAAAACGGAAACCCGCCGTCCAAGACACCTATCATACCAGATACTTTTGCGGTTTCGTTGTACAACCCCGATCAGGCTATACCCGTCAAGCAACAACCAGGAAGTTGGGGAAAGACGGGTGCTTGGGAGTTTGAGCTTCCCGAGAGGTCCTTTAAGCTACCCAGTGCTAGCCAGATTGACCAGGAGGATCGTCCGTCTCTGGCCGAGTTGGTTCCCAAAGTTGTGTTTCGCTGGAAACGTGATGGCCGTCTGAGCAAGGACATGACATGCTATATGACAGGACGAAATGTGGGTGGGAAAAAGAGCAAGGAACCTGATATTACTGTAGCATTTTTCCGCGCCAAGCATGACTCGACTTTAACCATTTATGAACCCAACATGGCCCGCGTTGAGATCGAGGACAGAAGGGGTCTTGAGATTGCTCTTCTCATGAGCGCTGAGACAATCAAGGATCTGTATCTGAACCCTAGCCAGGACCCTTTCCACCTACAGACCTCATCTAATGGCCGGCGTCGCCAGAACTCTCGCCCAGCAGCAAGTTCTTCGGCAGGCCCAACAATGGCGGGTGCTCTCAATAACAACCGTCCATCGTCACCTCCTCGGGTACAAGGATCCCCACAACAGTCAAGCAACCAAGCCCAGCGAGAAGCTGAGGTTGAGGCGGAAACACGACGCTTACAAGCAATGGTCGCAGAGGAAGAACGCAAAAGACGTGAACGTGAAGCGCAAGAGGAGGAAGAAAGCAAGAGAATCCAGAAGATGCTTGAGACTGAGGAACAAGAGCGCCGGAAGAGAGCTGCTGAGGTCGAACAAGAGACAGAAAGACTTCGTCGAGAATACGGCATGGCTGGGCAAGACTTCCAGAGTCCCACGAGTCCGGGTCACCCATCACCACCCTTACCTCCAAGACCACAGTTTGCGTCAGGCGCCTTGAACCCCCCAAACAACCTGCCCCAAAGACCGAACAGTGTTGGTCCAACACCGTATGGCGCTCCTCAGCCAAGCTTTGCTCCTCCTCCTTCGCAATCTCAGCCTGGCCCCAGCGAGAATGGAAAGAAACGCCATGGTTTGGGTGGCCTGCTACAGGGTCCCTACGCTGGACCAGCAGCAGCAAGTGTCAGTGGCTTCTTCAGCAGTCGAAAGGACGAAGAGAAGCGAAAGAAGGTTCAGAAGAAGCGAAGCGTGCACTTTTGAACCCGAGGTCAGAAGAAACTACGTAGTGTCTTTATGTGTCATGGGAGGAGTTTTAAGGGAAATGTGCGCGCAATGCATGGGGGATATACCATAGACCTGGGAATAGCATTAGTAATGAGAAATGATTTCTTGTTAACTCCATTCTGTCGCTGCGCTTAGATACTGCAATATTAATTAGACTGTCCAGCAATGTGCATATGTTGTTGAGCACCGATTGGTTCTTCCACTCATATCAACCTACAGGAAGTTTCATCTTGTTAATTTGAGCCAGGCAGCAGTGATATTGAGTCCCCATGACAGAAGGACTATTGGAACGTGCGGCACTTGTGCAGGAGATTGAGCAATGGGGAGGTATACTTGTGAAACCAGAAATCAGTAAGTCACCCGTTATCGACGCCATCGTATCTAACTCAGTAGCCTTCCTATATCCCTTGGACAATGTTTTATCTAGTTCCGGCCGAAGATATAACTCCCCCAAACTATTTGGACTTATCTAGTGAGTTTCCGCCCACTTCTTAAACCAATCTAGTGCTTCAGGGTTTGCAACGCTGGCATTGGTCTTGACATTCATACCAGAAAGGATCTGTTTCACTGCGACCTCAATCCTGCGTTGAATGTTAGCATCACACATCCTACGGAATAGTATTAAGGGGCAGACTTACTTCTTTCCATTGCCAGTCTTGGGGACGCCGCCTCCACACTCCTCCACGACGCCAGGTACATGTCGAGGGCTCAACTCAGACTTGATCTTGGACTTGATCCTTAGGCGCAGGTCATCGCTGAATTCATGTCCAGGTACCATTACCACAAAGAGACATACAGTCTCGTCTGAGTCTGTCTCCCGTCTACGTCCAATGCAAACTGCATCCTCGACTTCAGAGGCGAAGAAGCGTGTGAGAATGTTGTAGATCTCGGCTGAGCCGAATCTCACCCCTGATGGCTTCAGTACACCATCTGATCGTCCAAGCATGACAAGACTGCCAGTTGCAGGGTCAGGAATCTTGACGAAATCTCCATGGTGCCATACTGCTCCCTCAACGCCGCAGATGTTTTCGAACCTCTCAAAGTAAGCCGATTGATACTTGGCCTCGCCGCTAGGACCGAAAAAGGTCAGAGGCTGGCAAAGGAAAGGCTTGATGCAGACAAGATCACCTGGCTCGTCGGCCTTGATGGGTTCGCCCGTGACGGAATCAACAGCACGGATAGCCATACCAAGTCCAGCACACTGGATCTCACCAACACGAACAGGGAGCAGTGGGCAAGGCGCTCCGAATAGTGAGATAATGTCTGTTCCACCGGTAATCGAGCCAAGGTTGATATGCTTGGGGAAGGCTTCATAGACAAACTTGAAGGTCGATGGGGGGAGAGGTGAAGCAGTGGAGTAGATAGCCTGCAGGTTTGAGAGATCAATCGACTCGTCACGGACAGGGTAAACGTTGTTGGCCTCTAGTGCAGTCAGATAGGCGGCTGAGGTACCGAAATGAGTGACCTTGAGGTCAGAGAGGAGACGTGGGAGTGAGAGATGACCATGGGGGCGGAAAGGAGAGCCAGAGTAGACAACGATGGTAGAGCCAACGGCAAGAGCTCCGATGCTCCAGTGCCACATCATCCAGGAGGTAGTCGTATAGTAGAGCATTCGAGATGAGGAGTCGAGTGAGCAGTGAAGAAGATGCTCTTTCTTGTGCTGCAGAAGTGTACCTAAAGCTGTATGAACAATGGCCTTGGGAAGACCAGTTGTACCACTGGAGTAGAGAACATAGAGGGGATGAGCTGGAGGAAGCTGCTCGAACTTCAGGGGGTCTTCAGAAGCAGACTCGAGCATCTTGGCGTAATCAACAGCCAACACGCCATGCTTCTCAAGCTCTTCAAGACCAAGTCCACCAGAGCTGATGTTGTTAATCACAACCACTCTCTCAAGCCCCTTGTCCTTCAACGCAGCCACAATCTCAGTCGTCTTTGCTACACTAGACCACTCCTTGCCGTTGTAGACTGTGCCGTTATCGGCAAATAGCACCTTGGGGGCAATTTGGTTCAGACGGTCCAGGACAGCAGAAACACCGTTATCAGGACTTATACCAGTCCAAATGGCGCCGACTGAGGCGGCAGCAAGCATAGCAATCAGCGCTTCAACATGATTTGAGACGAAGCCCGCAACAACATCATTGGGCTTGAGACCAGCTGCACGCAGGGCATTAGAACAACGACGGACTGCCTCACGCAACTCAGCCCATGAAGTAGTCACTGTGGAGTTTGGCAACTCGGTAACAGTGATAACGGCTGGAGCAGTGGGCTCGGGAAGTGGAGAGGTTGCGGGAAAGAGGAGGTTCTCAGCGAAGTTAAGACGTGAGCCCGAGAAGAAGTCTGGTCGGGGGTACATAGGAGCATTTTTAGGAAGGACCTGCAGAGGTGTTTAGTTGAGTTCTGGAGTTGTTGAGCTTATCTTGAGCCTGGTGAGCCTCTCACTTGAGACGCCCTTCTCATAACTTGGCCTCATACCTCTTCAAAGGGCTTTGAAGCCGTGACACCAGAAAAATGCCAAACTTCCTCCCAGAACTGAGCAACTTCATCGATCGACCACTTGTATAGTGCTGGGTAACCATCGAGACTTAAACCATGCTTCTTGTTCACGTGCTCAAGAAACTTCCACATGTGAGTGGACTTTGGATCCGAATGCCTCCAGAGGACATTATCATCAGAGGGAGGTGCCGCAGCAGAAGGTGTAAGTTTGTCAATCGACATGACGGGCATTGGAACGAAGAATGAGGGAGACTGAAAGGTCAATCAAGTCCTCGGAAAGACGATTGTTGAGAATTGGTGACGATTCCGAGGAGTTGAGATGCCCACGAGACGATGGCGTGTAAGAAGCAACAGACACAGCCAAGGGAGAGATTGAGTGGTTTATGGAAGCCAAGATGAAGCAAGAGAGATGCTGTGTAATTGTTGAGAAGACTGTATTCTTATCCCAACGCTACGGACTTGGGATTCCGTGTTTCCAGCACAGCTCGGAATCTTTCTCTAACGGCCCAACCGCTGAAAGCCGTCCCCTCCCGTTCTCGGCTCCCCGCCATCGAGTCCCGTCTCTTGCCCCGAAGTGGCTGTGGTGGGGGAGGCTGAGGTCATGAAGTGTGGCTTGTCTCAAGCTGATGAGGATCCAAGGGTTTTCCATCATGACAACTATTAATGGGCTTTGATAACTTGAATGGTATTGTAATTGCTCAGGAGACTTGCGAAATTAGTATGTCATGAGCTGTGAGCTGTCACTTTTATTCGTAAATGACCACTGTCATGTCCAACTAAACGAGATGGCATCACTTCAAATAAAAGGAGAGCACATTGAGGGATCCTCAGAAGAAGAATCAACCGCCGTGACTCAAAAGCAAATAACTGATACGCAACATAACGTGATTGTCAAAGCACAAAGCAAAGCTGAATCAGAATCACGTTGGATGGCAGTTTGGCGAGATTAGTGCATTCTTGGTTGCCTCGGTACGGTCTAAGCTTAGCTGCCGGACTGTATGTAATAGCTCACAGGGAAAACTCGGCATGGTCGATCGTCCCGAACCGCCTTGAATCCGAGATGATCAGGCGTCGATAGTCTACTCAGCTTCTGTTTCAAGAATATTGACTTCGCGTAGCATGGGTGAAGCTCAATGGCGAGTCGATAATAAGGCAGCAGACCATGATAAGATGGGAGGTGGTGTCTTGTTATCTTGAGCCTACTCAACTCAAGAATGCGACAAGTCAATCCGAGTATCACAAAATGATTCTCACGGACCGTGTGCATTAGTTGCAGTTTTGGACTGAAAACAGCTGGCGGTGAAGGTCTTTGGGCATTGGAGGATCTTGTTCATCTTTGTTAGATGGATGTGTGCAGGGCTTTGCAGCATCTTTTATCTGGCCATTGATGTCGGTGTGTAACAACAAGCGCCAACTAAAAAGTAATGCAATCCATCGAGACTCATGTCATCCGTACATACACAGCTAAGCACAGCATCGTTGGCTGTAAGTGTGTGCACTCGGCTGCAATAGCTTGTTCTGGGGGAGAAATCCTAGCCCAGGTGGAACTCCATATGATTCACGAACAGATACAGACTGACCATCGAGGCGACCGGCCCGAAACTTAGAAGACTTTCAAAGACTTGATATGCCACGAGACTCTTCTCTAAACGAGGGAGCTTGAAGAATAATGCCATCATCGTCGCCGGGTGCGGCGGAGATTTTGATAGCTCGGGCACAGCATGCCCCTGGATGATGACATCCAACTTCCTTTGGGTTTCATCAGGACCAATGCTATGTAAGACCAGCAAGATCTGATGGTGGTGAACCGCGGCACCCAAGGAGAGGCAAGAAAACTTAGGACCTCTATCATCGATGACAAAAAATACTTGATCAAGTTCACGGGTAGCTTTTGTAGACCTTGGACTCTATATTTCTGACACCTAAATCCACCGTCAGAAGTTTTCTTGTTCCCTTGGGGCACCCTTCAGGCTTTTGAGAGTCTTTCATTCGCTACAGGAGGCAAACGATAGAAATTTAGTGCGAGCCGAGCTAGAAGGAAAAAAGTGGCGTTTTCTCTTAAAGTCTCCCGTGTCTTCCCATTCGCAGGCCGGAGACCTCGGAGCCCAGGGGTTCGTCTTGAAAACAAAACCATTGGATCCTTTCTACAGGGACTTCGATTAAGGAGAGGCAGCCAGAGATATGTTCTGATCGTTTTGTGTTTGCCTCTGGGTAGGATTCGAGGTCAGGAGCTCAGTTTGAACAGGCATGGTCAGCCTTGGAAGGGAACACGGCGTCGTCATAGAGAATACACGCCTCGCTTTTCAAATCTGGAGCCTTGAACTCCCTTGTTATCAACGCCTGTCAAGGAAGCGAGGCCTGGAAACGAAAAGGCGAACGACGAGACAAGACGAGAAGAGCAGGCAATACAATGCAAGTCCCCGCCGGCTGACCCCTTGAATTCCCTGTTATCCTTGTGTCCGGCCCATTCCGCGGGTGCTTGTGCTGTGCTGTGCTGTGCTGTGCTGTGCTGTGCTATGGAGACTGTTCTGTGTGCGTTTCTCGTACATCGTACATCGCATGCAGTGACACAGTCAGCAGCTCAGGTACATGTCGACAAATGCAAGTTTAAACTTGTTCTCGGCCCTGATTACACTCCGTCAGGTAACTGGTATCCCCCGTCGCTTAGAACCATAACCTCGAACTCAGGTACCCAGTACTAGGTGCTCCGTAGTTGGTGCTGGTACCCGCTGTTTCCCGTGGAGCGGAAAACCTGGACCTTTTATTGTTTTTCAATGCACATCCCGTTGTCCCGCTGACTCCGCAGTTCAGTTTTCTTCCTGCTTCTGTTCTCGTGGTGTACTGAAGGTCAAGTCGAATAATAACCAGTTGTTCCCTGCATCTGTCAGCTCTCTCTTCTCTTTTCAATATCATTCCTGCTGCTGGTTAGGTCGTTGTTGTGCTTCGCCGTCCACTGGCACAGGTTTCGGCCGAGTGATCGAGAGAGTCCGCCGACTAATACTATTTATTCCAACAAGCAACCCTTCGTCTATCAGCTAAACCCAAGACTGATTAATTACCTCTCGAGCATCAATTCGCTCTATTGTTCTCGATCTGTACTCTTTAGCAGTATCGATCCTGCTTGACCACCGAATCAAGTCATTGACGACTGGTGCCCTTGCGTTGCGGCCTGATCGATTTGAGCTTGGATCGATCTATCTTCCTTGGAACGGCAACGCTTGTCTCGGTAATTGAAATTGGAACAGCAGCATAGCAGTTGCTGTGTTGATGAGTAGTGACTGGGTAAGTGATCTTTTACATTACTGAGAGGCGATATCATTCTCTCTTGATATCAATCATCATCAATCATTTATCGGTTCGTCCCATCATCCGCCTGGTGTTTCTTAAGCGATTCTTGGCTGGACCACAGCTGGCCCCGCTGCTCGAGTTCAAGGGGGCCCACAGGCAATTTGCAGTGAGCGGATCTTCACTTTCCAAGTTTGATTCGACGCCACCTCCTGCGCCCCCCTGTGCCTCCTGGACCACGCACCACTACACGCAGTGCTGCACAGCACTCCAATTCAACTTTAAACCCAATCGTCACCTCTTTTTTATCAATTTCATAATTCTTCCTCATCAACATCTGTTGTACCGTGTATCAGCCCCAGCTCAACATCTTTGCCTCCATTACTTGTGTTGCAGCTTGTTCTCGATCGCGGTGCACGTTGGTCTTGTTTTCTTTCCTGCTTCGCATATCCTCATTCGCCCTGAAAAGCAATTGGGTTCATCACAACAAACCTCCTATCTGCAGAATATGCTTTACAGCGAATTGTCTCGAATCGATTGTTAGGTTTCGCACATCCACTGACACTCGCTCCTGGCTCCCAGACTCTCGACCTTCTGTCCTCGTGATTACAATTGGGCGCTCTACCCTCCGACTATTCTCGATCTAGCCTCCCTCACGTTCGCGCCTTCAACAATCCAACGCACCTGTGTCAGGAGATATGCCCCGTCGGCTTAATCCTTTCTCATCCTCACCCTCCATGTCTCAACCCGTCAAGTCGGGCGAGAGGCGCCCCTCTACCTCAAAAGGCAACCGTATCACCAACTTCTTCTCCAGTAGCCCCAAGTCCACTGGCGCCCAGCAAGCCCTTGCCGCTGTGCAGCAGAACCAAGCTGCTGCTACTGGGTTCTCGCCTTCTCCTGGTCTGCCTACCATCTCTCTCTCAACCGCGAGCCCTGGCGATCCCAACAGCATCGATGCCTCAACGACCACTCTCTTCCAGCCTAAGTCGGCCGAGGAGATCGACCGTCAGAAGCGTGCCGACGCTCAGTTTGGCCCTCTCCTCCACTCAAGTCATCGATACACCAGCCAGTCTCATGGAGAGCCTCTTCAGGCCCCTGTCGAAGATGAGCCTCCTTACTATTTCATTCTCACCACTTACATCAGCTACCTGATCCTGATCGTTCTTGGTCATATTCGCGACTTCTTTGGCAAGCGTTTCGGGAACCCCAAGCACTATCGTGCCCTTAAAGCCAGCAACGGTTATGCAGCTCTCAACAGCGATTTCGACAATTTCTATGTCCGACGTCTCAAGATGCGCCTGGACGATTGTTTCGCTCGCCCCACCACTGGCGTCCCTGGACGCTTCATCACACTGATGGACCGCAAGTCCGACGACTTCAACCGCACCTATCAATATACCGGCACCTACACCGAGACTCTCAACATGAGTTCGTACAACTATCTTGGTTTTGCCCAGTCAGAGGGTCCTTGTGCCGACGCTGTGGAGGCTTGCGTCAAGCAATACGGAATCAGTTTCTGCAGCCCCCGTGGTGCTGCTGGTACTTCCGATCTTGCTCTTGAGGTCGAGCGTGAGGTTGCCGAATTTGTTGGCAAGCCCGCTTCTATGGTTTTCTCTATGGGTTATGTCACAAACTCGAGCTCTTTCCCCGCCCTTGTTTCCAAGGGTTGTCTGATCATTTCCGATGAACTCAACCACGCCTCCATCCGTGTCGGTGCTCGTCTTTCTGGTGCCGTTATTCAGAGCTTCAAGCACAATGATATGGCCGATCTGGAACGTGTTGTTCGGGAAGCTATTTCCCAAGGTCAACCCCGCACCCATCGTCCCTGGAAGAAGATTCTGGTCGTCGTCGAAGGTCTCTACTCTATGGAGGGTACCATGTGTGATCTCCCCGGTATTCTTGCTCTGAAGAACAAGTACAAGTTCTATCTCTTCGTTGACGAGGCTCACTCTGTCGGTGCTCTTGGCCCCCGCGGCCGTGGTGTTTGCGACTACTTTGGCATTGACCCCTCCGAAGTTGATATTCTTATGGGAACTCTGACAAAGTCTTTTGGTGCCAACGGTGGTTACATCGCAGCCGAGAAACATATCATCGACAAGCTCAAGAGCTCCAACGCTGCTACTCAGTATGGTGAAACCCCTGCTCCTTGTGTGCTTATGCAAATTTTGGCTTCCCTGAAACTCATTACTGGCGAGCTGTGCCCTGGTCAAGGTGAGGAGCGTCTTCAGCGCATTGCCTTCAACTCTCGTTACCTTCGTCTCGGACTTAAGCGTCTTGGCCTTATTGTCTATGGCCACGATGACTCTCCTATCATTCCTGTCATGCTCTACCACCCCGCCAAACTCCCTGCGTTCAGTCACGAGATGCTTCGACGAAAAATCTCCGTCGTCGTTGTTGGATATCCTGCGACCCCACTCATCAGCTCTCGCGCCCGTTTCTGTGTTTCTGCTGCCCACAACAAGGAGGATCTTGACCGTCTGTTGGCTGCCTGCGACGAAGTCGGTGACATCCTGCAGATCAAGTTCTCGACCGGTGTAGCAGGCGGACTGGAACATCTTCCCGAGGGTGTCGACCCCAAGAACGAAAAGGAATGGAGAAAGGAAAACAGGATCCCCCTTCAGGCCCCTCGTTGGAACCTGGAAGACGTTGTACAACACGGTGTCCAGGATTCAAAGATTCCCCTACGCTAATATCTCGGCCTTTTAATCAAATTTTGTTCCTGGTGTTTGATACATCTTTATAATCACTCACGTACTCGGAGGTTGTCTGAGTGGTGTTTGACGCTTTTCATAGATACATCCTGTGAAGGAACGCGACGTTGCACGACGTTTAATGCCCTGTTCTTCTCGGCGGCTAGCCCTGCGGCTGTTGCCCTTTTGCCCCCAAATTCTCATGCAAGAGAGGGGGGCTTTTTTTTTCTTTTTTGGGACGGAATAATGGAGTTGAAGGCGTGTTGAGGTAATGGGCCATGTTGGGAATGGGAATCATGAGCAAGACTCATTCTACCAACCTAAATCTCAAGGGTTGGATGAGTCTAGCATATAGAGTAATTGTTAGTCGACAAATATAGATCTGAAGCAGCATAGATTTGCTTCAACTAATAAAAGAAACGTATGCATGAAGATCTCAATTCGCATACCACGGTGAACATTGATAAACAGTTGCATATACTCATGGGTACCTAGCCATGGCATGTTCTCTCAACTTTTATGAAAGCTTTATTTGTTATCAAATATCTTGCCTCGGAAGTTTGCTAATCTCCAAGGGTTCTATAGCATCATTGCAAGGTCAATTCCCTAACGGCCAAACGGGAATGCTGAAGGTTCGGTCTCAAACGCAAGATGTTTCCTTAGAATACCTCGGACTGTCACTCGAGATGTGGCTTGAGTGAGCCTCCTAGCCATCCCATCCGTGAGCATCCATATTGAATGGTTTCCCTGGTGTTTGAAGGAGAGACAAACTGAGGTTAATTGAGTAGACCAGGACCTCAATACATTTCAATGAGCGACTTGCCAGGGTTTAGATTATGTTTTGTGTCAACGCCCAAGACTTTCCTAAACGCGCACTGCAACTCAAGACAGAGAGGTCATCCAAGAACGGCATTGACTTTGGACTGTTTATTTACTGAAAAGGTATAGAAACCACCCAATGGATGATTCAAGTCCGGCATGGGAGGGTCGAATAATGCAATGGTTGGGCTGGTTAACGGGCTGCAGCAGCGGCAGCCAGGCTTGATACTTATTTAGTGGTGAGGGGCCCTGGCCGGGGTACCTACCGGGGGATGCTGTCAGTGGAGCGGGACGGGAGTCAAGCCGTGTTCTCAGTGGAGGACCAGTATTCAAAGTCCCTCCCAGGCCGACAGCAAGGTCCACCAAGCGAACGGCCAAGTCATGAGATAGGTACGGAGTACATCCGTATAGGGCTCGGAAGGGCTTACCACGGCCTGCTAGCTCAGGTACTGGGTACCTCGAGACAGCTGCCATTTCAATAGGCCATGGGTGACTCGGAGTGGAGGACCTCCTCTTCCCTTTCCACCCCCAAGCGCTTCCACGAGCGAGCGAGAGCACAAGCAAGACCTGGACTGGGACTGGGCCAGGGCCAGGACTAGGACCAAGACCGAGCAAGACAAGACAAGACAAGACCTTAGGACCAAGACACAAACACCCCGTCATCATCACCACCACCAGCCGCCTTCTTCTCCTCTGGCTACCTCCGACTCTTTTTATTTTCTAGGCTCTTTTCTATTAACGTTTCTACGGTATTTGTCCTCCTCGAGGCGTCTCGGCTTGGGTCTACTTATTCTCTTGGGGTCGGCTCTTTTCCCACTTCGACATTGCCTTTCCTCAGCCCATTCTATCTTCTAGTCTATTCGTCCACTCGATTTGTTCTTGCATTCAATCCACTCCAATCCAATCCAATCGTCCTCCAGGCTGCGCCCACTTCCTCGACCCTCGCGTCTGCCACCTCCTACTCCTGAGCATTGCTTCTCTTTTTATGACGTTCCGATCACGATTTGAATGAAAGACTTAGAAGCATTCGACCGACTGTCCTTCGCCAACGCTCGTCTTCTCTCTTTCTATCTGACGGTGCCCGACCAAGCGCATCTGTCTGTTTGCGGCATCACCACCACCACCACGGTCGCCCGAATTAGTCTTCCGTCTCGGCCCCCGCCTCCGTTGTTGGCGACTGTCCTTTCATAGCCTTCAGGATGATGAGCTTCGATGGTGGCACAGCTTACGCCGAGTCCGACGCCGACGACGAATACGAGCGAAGCATGGGCGACCACTCTCCTATAACCAACTCTGAGCATTCCCCCATAGACTCCGAGCTGTCGACCTCCGCAGAGCATACTCCTACTACATACGGCCACCGCAGCAGCGCCGACCGTCTCCCAGAAACCATCATCACCGAATGGACCGTTGAGGAATGTGCTGATTTTATTGGCACCATTGGTCTTCAACAGTACGCCGATCGCTTTATAGGTGCGTCTTGACCCAAAGCATGCCATCTCATGTCCTTGACGGATGGTGCCGCAGACATTGGAGAGATTGTTGGGATAGCTAACATTTGATTACCTGCAGAAAACGAGATTGTTGGCGAGGCCCTGGTAGCGTTACAACATGACGATCTCAAGAGCATGGGCATTGCTAGCGTGGGACATCGTCTAACGATCCTCAAAAGCGTATATGATGTCAAAAAGGCTCAAGATGTCCCTATTGAGAGCGACCACTACCTACCCCTATGTACGTTGCCTCCGATTTCCCTCTTGGGTGGACTGGCCTGATTCTAACCTGTAACCCCTGCAGCCGCCGACGCCGAGGCGCAATATGCTACCGCAACTATCAAGGACATCAAACATCTCGTCGAACAATTCCGCCTCCGCGATGAACGCATGAACCTACTCGAACAGGATCTGCGACGAATGACAGAAGATTTCAGACGATTGCGAGAGGATATGCTCCCGGCCTTGCGCTTGGTCAAGGATGCGCAGCAACCATTGCCCAACCTGAGTGGTAACAGCCAGCAGGCCTACGGCTACGAAACAACCATATCGCCCCCCGCACCTACACCACCCCCAGGCTCTAGTCAATCTGGAAGCTCAGTCAAGCGACAATATTCTACCCGCAAGATTCTTATCGGAGCTACACCAAAGAATGCATCGCCCACTCAATCTACCCACGAAAGGTCAATAGCGGAGACTGCGCTGGACCCCGCAAGTGCTGCAGAGCGAGCTGTCCTATCGTCTTCCCATCTTGCAGCTATGAACGGAGGTGGCCAGGGCTCGTCCTCCCCTTCGTATCCCTCACCCAACATACCCTCCCCGACATCTCCTCAGACCCACATGTCCGCTACGACCCTCGCCTCTCGATCCTACCGCAGTGAAGCACCGACACCCTCCACACGAACCACCTTCAACGACGAAGGTCACGCCAACGCAGTCTATGCCTCCCGCGAAAAGGCACCGCAAGGGCCGCCCCGCCGACGAGAAACCCCTGTACCTGATACACCCAGTCAGAGCAATGCTTCAGTCGAGATCTTCAAGTCTTTCCGTGTCAGTATGGAAGATCCTTGCTACAAGGTTCTTCCTGCTGCACTAAAAAAGTACCAGATCAACGCTCCATGGGACCAGTATGCTCTCTATATTGTGTACGGCGATCAGGAACGTTGTCTGGGTCTTGAGGAGAAGCCATTGATTCTGTTTAAGCAACTGGACAAGGAAGGCAAGAAACCTATGTTTATGCTACGAAAGACAACAACAGCATCTTTAGATGGAGAGCCAGGTAGCGCAGGGCTGGGCAGCACCTCAAGAGGGGCTCCGACAGGCTACGACCCCCCCGGGGGAATCATCTAAACTCTACTCAGAATCGGTGCGTTGTGGTGGATTTTCCCAACGATCCAAACACAGAGCATCGGACGGCGCCTACCGAAACCCGAGTCCATTCGAGTGATGAGCACGAGACGCATACTGTACGTCAGACATGCAGGGTCGGCACAAACCACCACCTTCAAGGCCGTACGATGCAGGACCAAGGTCTAGATGCGTTTCTTGGAAGTGGGACAAGGCAAGAGTCGGCAAAGTCAAACCTGCAGAGGTGTCTGCATGACGTTTGGTGATGTTTGTTTCAGTGGGTCAGCGTTTCTGAGCTGAGGTGGTGAACCTGAAACACCAGCCATGGGCTATTATGGGGCAGAACGCCAGACACTGCTCTGGCCTTCCCGCGTTTGTCTTGGGCTGAATCACATTATTGACAGATTCGGACACTAAGAGGGGAGGCTTGTTTGAAGACCAGGGTTTAGAGAGTTGCAGGGCTGGGCTGGGCAACTGAAGAATTCCGACCGGAGGGAGAGGAGAGCTTAGAGCAACTCGGTTCCTCGGCTGGTTCCACTCGAGGCTTCATCTTTGCTTTTGTCAAAGGGATGCTCGCTCATTGAGGCAGGAGGTACGTTGCTGTGGAAGTGAACGGTCAAGCCACGGGCATCCATGCGCATGCAGCATTTGTTTTTCATCAAATTCATCATGGGGACATTGCGGGTTACGGCGTTTGAAAAGTCGACTAACGTTGGGTCTTATTCTGCAATAAGCAGCGGGAATGTTCATCTCGCCGTTCTATTTTTGGGGCTTGCATCTTAATTTCAGCGCAGCAGCAGCACAGCACAGCACGGTACAGAACAGAACAGAACATGGAGGAAAGGGTTGGTAATGATGGGCGAGAAGCACGGGTTGGATCGGGTCAGGTCAGGTCAATGTACAAACAGTGTTAGGGCTAAAGAAGCCAGAATCTTTGAGAGTCGGATATTGTGGACACTGCCTTGCATAAGAGCATATGCTGGCGGTTGATGAGAGTTGGACATGATGTTAGAGTTTTGTGACAACAGACAGACTCTTGTGTGGAGTAGACCAAGAGTAATATCTTTGAAGTTACAGTTGAAGTTGATAGACAACGAGCATGTCTTTCTTTCATGGCACCTCTTCCAAGCGCAATTCTTATTCTAATATCAAGCCCTGGGCATAGTTGGTGGGCTCTTGCTCCCTCCACACATACCATCGCCATTCTTCTGTAAACTCTTCCCTCTTCCTCGCTTCAACCTCTTCGACAAAGGCAGCCACCGCTTCCAATGGCACTCCCCTCCTCATGCATGTCTTGTCATCCCAGCTCGAATGCACGCCTACCAATGCCCCCGTTTCCCG